TTTCACCATTTTCTCCCTTCTCCTTTGGAAACTCCTGTAAAGCAAATATTGGTACAATTGAGGTTGTTCCAGAGATCCCTTAGCCTATCCCAGTTTTTAAAAATAATTTTTTTCATTTCACTGTTCAGCTTTAGTGCTTTGCACTGCTGTATTCTACTATAATAACTTCTGGCTCACCTATCCATTCTGCTGCATCTTCTAATCTGTGAATTCCCTCTAGTATAGTTTTCATTTCAGTTATTGTATTTTCAGCTCTAGTTCTTTTTATATTTTGTATTTCTTTATTGAAGTCTCACTGAATTCATCCACTGTTCTATCAAGACCAGTGAGCATCTTTATGACCATTACTTTGAACTCTTTATCAGGTAGATTGTATCATATAGTTCTTTTCCCAAGGTTTTGTCATGTTTCATATTTAAAACATATTTCTCCTTTTTCACATTTTGTCTGACTCCTTGTGTTTGTATTAGGTAGAATCTATGGCCATACCACCCTGAACACGCCCACTCTCATCTGTATGTGTTAGGTAGATCAGCTACCAGTTCTGCTCTTGAAAGTAGGGACCTTTTATGTAGAAGGTGTCCTGAGGGCCCACTAGCCCAGTTCCCCAGTCACCAGAACCAGTGGTGTGTCCTCTGTGTGTGCTTTACGAGCTCTTTTGTAACTGGGCCAGGACTGCTGTGGGCATACTGGTGGGTGGGGCTGGCCCCCAGCCCATCTGTCTGCAGTGACCCGACCCTGCCTGCACACTGGTGGGCAGGGCTGGTCCCTCGTGTGGCTGGTCGAGAGGCCAAGCTGTAGCTGCTGCTGGTATGATGGTGGGTGGGGTCAATCTCTCCTCCCTGGGGCAGGAGTTGCTTTGGAGAGGTGCCTGTCCCAGTTGGGGCTGCCTGCAGGCTGTGGCCAGGCATGCCAGCACTGGGGGTAGCAGTGCTAGTGAGGTAGCACTGATGGAGTCAAAACTGACTCCTACAAGCATCCAGCCAGCTAGGCTGAAGGAGAGCAAGAAAAATGGCTCCTGCCAGCACTTCTTTTCCTTGAAAAGTCTTCTGCAGATCCTTGCTCCTCTGGCACATCCTCTGAAATTAGTCAGTGAATCTCCTTCACATGTAACAGAGGTATTTTTCAAACTGCTGCCTTTTGTCTTGAGTTTCAAACTGAGTGTTATAGTATGCTGGCCCTTTAAGAATAGAATCTCAGTTTCCTGTAGCCTTCTGGCTCTCCCATTACCAGAGTTAATCTCTGCTTATTTTCAGAGTCAGATATTATGGCGGTCATTTTCTTGGTACAGGTCCCTAGGGTCAGGGGTGCCCGATGTGGGGATCGATCCTCTCATTCCTCAGGGAGGACCTCTGTGCCTGTGGGTATCCCTCCTGCTTGTGGCTTGCCATGCGAGGGGTTTGGTTCTGGACCACATCACTGCCCCTCCCACCCTTCTCGATTTGGCTTTTTGTCTAGAGCCGTGGAGTAAGTGTTTCGCTTAGTCTTAAGGTCATTTTCAGAGTGAGTTGCTGTTATACTTAATTGTTGCCTTTGGTGTCTCTGTGGGAGGAGGTGAGCCATCCTGCTCTGCCGTCTTCCTCTGCTCTGTCTCTGGTATCTCTTACCTGCTATCACTAATCTCTTGATGAGAGTCCCAGCCGGAGGACCTTATCTAACATAATTACCTGTCCATACTCAACCTTTTAATTCTGAATTGGGGCTAGAGCCAGCCTATGAATTTGGGGGGCACATATCCACTACATAACAGGAAAGAAACGTGGGTATATGCAGTAACATAGATGAATCTCTAATTCTGCTGAGTGGAAGAATTTAGACAAAGTGAACACACAGCATGGTCTGTTTAAGATATTTGAAAATGCAACTTAATCCGTTGTAACACAGGCAGATCAGTTTCCTGCAAATGGTGGTTGAATGAGGGAGGGATGTAGTGGAAAGGGTTGTGAGAAAATTTGGGATGGTGATGAGTATGTTTCCTGTCATGATTGTGGTGACGGTTTGTTTCAGTGATATATGTTTGTGTTAAAACTCACCACATTGTACACTTTAAGTGTGTTCAGTTATTGTAGCTCAATAAAGCCATGAAAGTACAGATAAATAAAACTTTTACTTCCAGCAAGGTAAAAAATGTATCTGAGGAGAATGGTTAGAATGAAAGCAATAAGGAGAAGAAATTGTAGCTATCAGCAGAGTCCTGAAGAATTTCTCTTCCTCTGCCCAGTGGTATCAATATGCAGTTAAGGATAAAGCAGAAATCAGGGGTGCCTGGGTGGCTCAGTTGGTTAAGCATCCGACTTTGGCTCAGGTCATGATCTCACAGTTCATGGGTTCGAGCCCCACGTCGGACTCTGTGCTGACAGCTAGCTCAGAGCCTGGAGCCTGCTTCAGATTCTGTATCTCCCTCTCTCTCTGACCCTCCTCTGATCACACTGTCTCTCTCTCCCTCTCTCACAGAAATAAATAAAACATTAAAAAAAAAAAGGATAAAGCAGAAATCACCCCTTAAAAGACAGAATTGTTGGGGTCACTCATACTGTTAGGGCCTGAGGGGGATCCAGCACCAGATACTCCTCTAAAACCATATAACCCAATGTTGCTAATGAGAGGGAAAGTTTCTGCTGGATTTTGGGATTTATAGTCGTTTTTAAGCCAATGGGATAGGCAGAATAATGCCCCACTTAAATGTCCTTGTCTTTTTTAAGTTTATTATTTTGAGAGAGAGTGAGCACATGTGGGGGAAGGGCAGAGAGAGAATCCCAAGCAGGCTCCATGCTGTCAGCATGTGGAGCCTGACTCCAGGCTCAGTCTCACAAACCGGGAGATCATGACCTGAGCCGAAACTAAGAGTTAGATGCTCAACTGACTGAGCAAGCTAGGTATCCCTTAAATGTCTGTGTCATAATGTCAGGTTACACGGTAAAGGAGACTTAAGGTAGTAGGTAGAAGTAATAGTACTGATCCACTGACCTAGAAATGGGGAGATTATGCTGGATTACCTGAGCCTGCTCAGTATGATGGTAAGGGTTCTTACATGGGGAAATGATAGGCAGAAAATGGAAAACGTTCGAATGATGCAGGGTGAGAAAGACTCACCTGCCAGTTTCTGGCTTTGAGATGGAAAGAGGCCAAGAGTCCAGGTCTGGGTGGCCTCTGAAACTGGAAAAGGCTAAAGAATAAATTCTTTCCCGGCGCCTCCGGAAAGGAAGGCAGCGTTGCTGACTCCATGGAAACCCGTTGTGGACCTTGGACTTCCAGAAATGTAATTCAGTACATTTGTATTGTTTAAGCAGCAACAAGAAAATCAAAAGGCCAGTTTCACATGGTAAAATGATGCTCAGTTGAAATCGTGAATTACCAGTATACTTAGGGTCTCCAGATTTAGAAAATATATTTTTACTCTAAGTGTGACCCATGCAATATACTTTATAAAGTTATTCATTATTCATCTGAGATTCACATTAAATTGGGTATCCTAGTCTGCGAACTCCAGTTATACCAGAAAGCACTGTGAGCATGTTTTGCTATTTTTAGAACCCTGGTTATTCTTTCTGACGAAGAAGGATGAAAACAAACACATTTATTAGTGACTGCTCATAGGATAACCTAGCATAAGATCTGAAAGCATACACGTAATTGTCCAGTGAGCTTCAGGCTACTCAGAGAACCTTATGAGTGACTTGGAAAACATTCTGCGGCCCTGATACAGTTCTGCAAAATGCACTACCAAGTCAGAGTAACTAAATCTTTTATGAATCACAGTTTGATCAGCTTTACCCAGAAACACCCCTTACTTGTCCCTTCCTGTGCCCTACCCAACCACAAACATTCAACACAAATAGGCAAACACGCCCCCTTTAGTACTTTATTTAATAGAAGATTATGACCTGAAGTTTCAGCAGTGGGGAAGTTACCAATCACATCCGCAACTACCTAATGCTCCGTGGAGATTTATTCAGTTCCCAATTAATAGATGTTAGGTTGATTCTGTGATTCTAATCTTTGTCATTAAAAAACAATCTATACAAATAGAATAGCCTTGTAATTATGAAAGGCCTGCTCTTAGGATTATTACTAATTTTTTTTTCATTTATTTTTTAAATTTATATCCAAGTTGGTTAGCATATAGTGCGACAACGATTTCAGTAGATTCCTTAATGCCCCTTACCCATTTAGCCCATAACCCCTCCAAGTAACTCCATAACTCCAACTCACTGTTTGTTCTCCATATTTAAGAGTCTCTTATGTTTTTGTCCCCCTCCCTGTTTTGATATTATTTTTGCTTCCCTTTCCTTATGTTCATCTGTTTTGTATCTTAAAGTCCTCATATGAATGAAGTCATATGACTGGCTAATTTCACTTAGCATAACACCCTCTAGTTCCATCCACGTAGTTGCAGATGGCAAGATTTCATTCTTTTTGATTGCCGAGTAATATTCGTGTGTGTGTGTGTGTGTGTGTGTGTGTGTGTGTGTGTGTGTGTGTATGACATTTTCATCCATTGATGGACCTTTGGGCTCTATCCATACTTTGGTTATTGTTGATAGAGCTTGATTACTAAATTGAAACAACTTGTTGTGTACTGTTTCACACTCATTTTCCGGTATGATGATAATGACCCAGTTTCTTTGTCACTAGTCTTTTCATTCAAATTAAATCAAATTAAATCAGCCTCTAGCACACTGTCTAAAAATTGGTAGTTAGAAGACTAACTTAAATTTGAATATTGTCTTCTTCATTCAGACTAGAGTTGGGATCCTTGGAAATTCCTCACTGTTTTCTTTATAATTTTATAACTTATTATTGACATTCCTGTGAGAGTGCCAGTTTTGTTGAGGAGAAGAAACAGAAATATGGGGGGAAATGTATACATTTCCCTGGGATATTGCAGATTGGAAGGCTTAGGAGGAATAGGAAATTTAGTCAGCATCTGTGATATTGATGTAATGTGTTTGAGCCTCATGGTCTGGACTTTTGACACGACGTCGTCTTTGTTCTTTAAGGTCCAAGCAGTGGATTCAGTATCTTCTCAGCAGTGCACCCTCTTCCTTTGAATCCAGAACCGTGTGCACCATACTGATCCTGGTGAGTCTGTTTAACTGTTTTTACTCATTTACTTGTGTCTTGCCCTTTTGGAAAACCCTGGCTCATGAACACAGCACCCTGTGTCTATGTGCTTCTCAGCGTTTCCTCTCTTTGTGCTCATTAGCAGTGACAACGTGTTTCTCAGTTCTGCGTGGGGGCAAGGAAAACATCTTTTTCCAAATACAGCCTCTGGGCTCTACATTCCCTCCAGAACATATACTGTCAGTTGAGCTGCTGAGAATTTTGCGCTCCGTGTTGAATAGCAATTGTAGGATATGAAAGAAACTGGTGTATCAACAGTTATTCAAAGACAGAATTTCATGAAAACATCAATGTATGGCTTTTTCAGGTTTGGGGAGTTTGACAGTAGAAAACCAATGCTGATTTGAATTTTAAGCTAACACCCAAAATGTTTATTTTGTGATCATTGGTGAAAAATGTTTCATGTGAAGGTATGGACAGTGCATGTGGACCTTGATGAGTATAAATCTCTAAACTGTCTAAATAGTATTTTAATCTAATGCTGTGAATGATGAAGAAAAGGTCACATGTCTTGTATAGGGACCTGTTTCCCTTTATGCTCTTAGCAGAAGAGGGTACAGATGTGAGAAAGCTAGAGGTTGGTTTGTGTAGTTTGATCTCAGTTCCAACTTTCTGTCTTCTGAGAGAGGGAGGATTGAGAACACTCCTCGTCCTAAAAAGTTTCTACTTTTATCAGTTAATGGATACTCAGGAAAGCTTCTCTCTGCCTATGTTGAATCTCACGCCAAAGTAGCATATTTTAATTGCCATCAACAAGAACACTGTGGGAACAAACTTGGTTCCAGACCACCGCAGCAAAGCAAGTACAGTGAATCGTTGGTTTCCCAGTACATACATAACCGTTGTCTTTACAGTGCACAGTAGCATTAGGTCTTAAAAACGATATACGTACTTAACTGAGAAATACTGTCTTCTAAAAAAAAAAAACCATTAACCCTCATCTGAGCTTTCAGTGAGTCACAATCATTTTGCTTATGGCCCTGAACATGTGGGTGGCTATGGCCGTCTCTTAAACTACGGCAGTGAGGTTTGCCATTTCAGTTCATCTTCTGTCACAGAAGGAGATTAGCACGTGATGCTGTTTGATAGCATCTTCTTCCCCAACTGTCACCTCAGTGGTCTGTAGGCCTTTCCCCCAGGAATAGGTTCCGCCTCAAGCAACCACTTTCTCAGGTCATCCACTTCAGCTTTTATCGTGAACTTGCATCTTGCAGCAGTTCGGTCACCTGTCGTCTACTTCTAATTCCAGTTCTCTTGCCGTTGCCACTGCATCTGCCGTTAGTCGCAGTTCTTCCGCGGACGTCTTCCGCTGACCATCACGACTCCTGGCCATACTTTTTTTTTTTTTTTCTAATAGTTTATTGTCAAATTAGTTTCCACATAACACTCAGTGCTCATCCCCACAAGTGTCCTCCTCCATGCCCATCCCCCCTCCCCCCCACATCCATCAGTCCTCAGTTTTTGTCATCATTCAAGAGTCTCTCATGGTTTGCTTCTCTCCCTTTCCCCCACCATTTCCCCCCTTCTTCTCCTAATCCTCCTACATGTGCAAACATATGGTATCTGTCCTTCTCTGCCTGACTTATTTCGCTCAGCATAACACCCTCAAGTTCCATCCATGTTGCTACACATGGTCCTGGCCATACTTTTGACTTTGCCACCCATAAATGGCAGCTAGAATGGAATTGCAGAAGGTTTTCAGTTCAGTTTTCTGGCCTCACAAATTGTATTCTTAAGACTTGAAAGTCAAAAGTACTCCTTGATCCATGGGCTACAGCAGGCGTGAAACATTAATCTCATCATACATCTCCATCAGAGTGCTTTGTCACTGAGCAGCGATATTGTGAAATCTTTTTTCCTGAGCACTACTTCTCAACAGTAGGAAAACAGGCTTAAAATATTCAGTAAACCAGTGGCACCTGGTGGCTAAGTTGGTGAGCACCTGACTTCGGCTCAGGTCATGATCTAGCAGTTTGTAAGTGTGAGCCCCGCGTCAGGCTCACTGCTGTCAGACTGTCACTGCAGAGTCCTCTTCAGATCCTCTGTCCCCCTCTCTGCCCCTCCCTCGCTTGTGCTCTCCCATAAATAAGTATTAAAAAATAATTCAGTAAACCATATAAACAGATGTGCTGTCACCCAGACTTTGCTGTTTTACTTTCAGCACGGGCAGAGTAGATTTCGCAGAATTCCTAAGGGCCCTGGGATTTTCAGAATGATACGTGAACCCCTAACAAGCTTGACTTCTCCAGCTAAGAAAGTGCTAGATGGCATCTTGCAGCCACAGGCTGCTTTGTCTGCATTTGGAAAATCTGTGGTTCAGTGCAGCCACCTTCATGAACGATCTCCGCTGGGTCTTCTGGAGCGCTTGCTGCAGCTTCTGTGTCAGCACGAGCTGCCCCACCTTGTCCTTTGCTGTTACAGAGATGGTTTCTTTCCTTCAGCGTCATGACCCAACCTCTGCTAACTTTAAACTTGTCTTCTGCAGCTTCCTCACCTCTGCAGCCTTCATAGAAGTGGAGAGAGTTAGGGCCTTGCTCTGGATTAGGCTTTGACTTAAAGGAATGTTGTGGGCACTTTGGTCTTCCGTCCAGACCAGTGAAACTTTCTCTGTATCCTTAGTAAGGCTGTTTCATGTTCTTATTGCTTGTGTGTTCCCTGGAGTAGCACTTTATTTATTATTTTTTTATTTAAGCCTGTTTTACTACTGTTGAGACGTAGTGCGCAGGAAAAAAAATTTTCTTTCAAAATATCGCTGCTCAGTGACAAAGCACTGAGCTTTTATTTCTGAGAGACAGAGACAGCATGAGCAGGGGAGGGTCAGAGAGAGGGGGAGACACAATTGACAGCAGGCTCCAGGCTCTCAACTAGCTGTCAGCACAGAGCCTGACACAGGGCTGGAACCCACGAACCATGAGGTCATGACCTGAGCCAAAGTCGGACACTTAACCGACTGAGCCACCCAGGTGCCCCTCTAGCTTTTGATTTAAAGTGAGAGAGACCTGCAACTTTTCATTTAGAAGCTATTATAGGATTATGGCATAATTTCAGTCTTGTGTCTCAGTAATGAGGCCTGAGGGTAGAGCAGTCAGAACAGATACCACAGCATTTAGCAGTTCTAGGTGACCCTTTGAACAGGGCCTCATTACCTGCAAATTCCAAACCTCTTGTTTCACAAGAGGGTCATGAGCTTTAGAATATTTTCTAACTGAAGATCCCAAAAGATTATTCTTGGTGCATGCACTGTTTTTTGTTTTGTTTTCCAAGAACTGTGAGAAACTTGTTAGCATCAACAGCCACCAGGTTTCCCTCAGCTTTACATACCATATCCTTTAAGTAGCAAGTCATGGGATGCCTGGGTGGCTCAGTCTGTTGAGTGTCTGACTTTGGCTCAGGTCATGATCTCTTGGTTTGTGAGTTCAAGCCCCACGTTGGGCTCTCTGCTGACAGCTTGGAGCATGGAGCCTGCTTCAGATTCTGTGTCTCCCTCTCTTTCTGCGCCTGCCCTGCTCATGCTCTGTCTCTTGAAAATGAATAAACGTTACAAAAATTTTATTATCAAATCAGTCACAAAATATGTGTAGGTATATACTCTGCCAACCTGATTCAGAAGTATATACCTAAAAATATCGTTAATGAGTCTATATCTTCGTCTATTTAAGCCCCCTATATAGATAAAATATACAGTTGTATTTGCTGCTTTCATTCAGATACATGTAGTGACTCAGAACTACCTCTGCAGGAGGCCTGTGCCCGGTGCCCCCGTCTTTCTCTGCTCCCTGGTCAGTCCTCGCACAGGTAACCCTTTTACAGTGGGTCCTATGTAAAGCTATAGGAGCCTGTGAGCATGACAGGTGTCAGTGATCTCTCTCATGTGACACAGAATTCACTTTGGAGCCTTCTATTTTATAACCCACATCTCTTGAGAACCCTAACATTTGCAGAGGGTGGAGAAACTCTCTGCATTGAGAATTTTGGCTTTGAAAGGTTTAGAATCCCCTTCATTTCCAAGTGTGTTGTAGCTTCTGGCTGAGGCTATAATGGTCTCCCTCACATTTCTCTGTGATTGTGAACTGTACCAAATACCAGAATCCATGGCCTTTGGGTGTTAGAAACTGCCTGGGGGCTGACCCTTGAGAAAACAAAACCATGGCAGATGAGGTCGCACACACTATGTGAGTGACCATGGGATGCTGTGTGCGTTTGGATCTGTAACCTTTGGGGGCATCTGGGATAGAACTGGTCACCCGTGGGCGCACACGGACTTCATGAAGTCTGCAACAGCACCATTGTTGCTAAACCTTTCAGTGAGCAGTTGCAGGCAACTCCCGGGAATCTGGCCCAGCCCCGTTTCTGAGCGAAGCCCCTCCACCTCCACCCCTCCAGAACCACACAGCACGAGGCGCCACTTCACCTGTGCTTCAGGAGGCTCTGATATGCAGTGCACTTAGCAGAGGCTTACGGACCCGTGAGAACCGCACTGCCCGGAGGACCCTACACCAAGTGACTTCAGCGTGGAGCCAATGAAGGTCCAGGAGACGGGCGTTTCCGTGTGTGCCATCTCGTCCAGGTGGGACTTGCGGGGTCCTGGTGGCAGTCATTTTGGCAGCTCTCGACTCCGTTTCCCGGTTGGAGGCTCCAGAGTGCTGGCTCGAGACGACGTGAGGACTGTGGCAGCACCAGAGGTGTCCCTGCTGCTCAGAGGCGGGTCCGAGACGCCGGGCGGCTCCCAGCCTTGCTGTGCCCACAGAATCCGATGGCGGCGGCCACGCCCAGGGACCCAGCTCAGGTAGATGCCCAGGCCTTGGGGTCCCAGACAAGGGAGGCACTCATGGGCGGGGGCCCCATGTCAGAGCACCTGTGTGCAAGCTCCAAACCAAGGGAAACCTGGTGTGAGTTTTGTATGTGCAGAAGCAGAGCATGAGGCAGAGTCCTGCCTGGACTCAAGACCACGGGGGGGGTCAGGGAGGCAGTGGAGACCACAGCTCGTTGAGCCCTACCCTCTACTGATGAAGCACTTTTAGAACATACAGAAGTAAGAGGAGGGTGTTCAGGACCCTGGAAAGACATTAAACTAGAGGTTATGTGGGTTGGAGGCCTTCCCCGTTCTGGTGGTCAGTAAGATGAGGTTGTCCTGGGGCACAGCTACCAGTACAGCTGAGCTGGGAGTATTCAGGGAAATACAAATGTTATTTCCTCCTGATGGTTTGGATCTTCTCTTACCAATGCTTTGTAACTGCAGAAAACATAACTGGGAAGGTTAGTGGGGAGGCTACGTAGATGTAAATTGTGGCCACGGAGGTAAGAGAAGTTGTTGGATTTTAAATTCCTTAGGTAGAGCCAAGCCGATTTTCTACTGTGGAGAGTGAGGTAGAGAATAGAGACCAGAGTGGCCCCTGGGGCTTTTGTCTTAGAAAACTTTGGATGCAGGCATGAAATGGGCAGCTGGATATAAAAGTCTAAACATCTGAGTGGGGTCCAACATTAGATGTGTAGGTGGCACTTCACATTACACCTAGGAAGAGAAATTCTGATTATGGTGGTAACATGATCAAGAGGCCAGGAAGAAGAGTTTGGGCACTGAGTCTGAAGCTGTTTCTTGGAGCAAGTGGCCTCTCAAACACAGGGAAGGGACAGAAGACTTTCAGGGGACGAGTGGACACGAGTAGGCTGCTGCTTAATTGTGGCAAGCTCTCATGGAGCCTGGTGGATGAGCTCAGGGGCAAAGATCATTCATTAATTCCCAGCACTCGGATCTAGGGGCTTTAAGTTTAACTAAAGTGAGGCTCTAAATCCAATATGATTAGTAGTATCCTTAAAGAAGAGGAAATTGGGACACAGGAGATGAAAAGCAGGTCTTCATTATGGATTTGAGGTTGCCCTGGGAAGTGGGGTCCAGCTTGCCAAGCACTCTTGATGCTGTGGGGTCAGTACTATAGGGAGGCACTTAGGGGGTAAGAGAGGTGTAGGAACTGACAGACACCCCCCACCCCCCAGACCTTCAGTATTAGGGACTTAGGAGGGAGGGTGGAGTCCATCCTTGGTTGTACCTGGCAGATACACTGTCGAGGATTTTGGGGAAATTGCCTGCCTGGGGGCTGGTGAGGCCTTGCAGGCCCAGCCCTGAGCTTCAGATTCTGTTTGTCTGCCCACAACGTCCTTGTTCTTGTAGAGGGTTGACATAGTGATTTATTGGCACCAGGGCTTGGTGTCTCCTCTTAGTGGGGTGGCCTGGAGGAGGAGGAGTTAGGTCCTGCGGAAAGGGGACTGTTGATGCTTTCATCTCTCCCCCATTATGACAGGATGGTGTGACCTTTGAAGACGTGGTTGTGTACTTCTCCTGGGAGGAGTGGGGGCTCCTTGATGAGGCGCAGAGATGCCTGTACCACGATGTGATGCTAGAGAACTTTGCACTTGTGATCTCACTGGGTAAGGCGCTCACCCCCTTGTGCCCTGGGCTAGACTTTCCCCGCCTCACACTGGGTTGTAGAGATCGCAGGTACCACTGCCACCAGGGCCGGCTCTACAGCTGCCCTCCTGGTGAGCCCACAGCTTCCGCATCCAGCGCTGCTGTCCAGACCTGTGGCCCCCGCCCGGGTTTCCCCTCCTCCTGGCTCACATTTCTGGTCTCTGGCAGAAGAGGGGCTTGTAACAAGGGGCTGTTACAAGATACTCCTCTGTGGTTCTGCTCACAGTAGGACTCTTCTTTCTGGATCTTGGTCGTGTGCAGAATTGCTCTGGGGCATTGCTAGTCCTCTGCCTGTCCTTGCCTCAGAGATTTGTGTTATCCAAGTCCCGCTTCGCTCACCCAGGGTTTAGAAGAGTCCGGGGTCCTTCACAGAACGGCCCACCTGTGTGTTGATGCCAGCAGCCGCACACCTCATTTCTGTTTTCCCCCATCTTCCTCTTGGAAGCCTTTGGTCCCTTGCTGTTCCCCAGTGTTAAGTTACACGTCCATTAGTCTTTGAATACCGTCTAGTCAGTTGCAACCAGATGTTCCTGGGCCTGGACATAAACGTCCACACAGCACTCACAGCTGCAGGCTAGTGGCAGGAGTGCCTTGGAGACCCTGCTTCTTCCTCTGCCGCACCCCCTTCCTCATCTTGTGATGTTAGAATTCCAGGCCTGCAGCCCTTTAATCAACCCAACTCCAGCGGTCTCATTCTTTAGTGTGTCCGACAGACATTTGTGCTTGGCCCTCCCCTTCCGCCAAAGATAACATGCACTTCACACCTGCATCTCTGGGCTTTCAGGTTGCTGGTACGGAATGGAAGATGAGGAGGCACTTTCTGTGCAACGAATGTCACTGGGCAAGGCTCCAAATCCAGGACCACCCATCTGGAAAGCTCAGCCCTGTGACAAGTGCGTCTTGGTTGGGAGAGACATTTTGTACCTGGCGGAGGAACAAGGACCACATCCGGGCCAGAAATCCACCTGTGAGGCATGCGGGAAGCAGTTGTGGTTCAGTGCAAGCCTTCACCAGAAGCACAACGAAGAGAAGCCATTCAGATGGGACATGGAGTTTGTGACAAGCTACAAGTTGCATGTGTCTGGGAAGCCTTTCCCCTGCGGGGAGATAGGGAAGGACTTCCTGGCCGTATTGAGTCTCCTCCAGCATCAGGCCACTCTCAAAGGGGCAAAACCACACAGCAGCTTCGAGCACGAGTCCTTTCCGGGCGGAAAAAGTTCGCACACATGTAGCGACTATGAGAAGTCATTCAGCTGTGACTATAATAAACTTTTCCAGCATCAGCAGCCTGACCCTAGAGAAAGTTACCATGCCTGGGAGAACTGTGAGAAACCTTTTAACCAAAGCTCCATCCTGAGTAATTGCCAGAGAGCTTGCCCAGCAACAAGGTCTTACGTGTGCAACGAATGTGGAAAATCTTTCAGCCAAAGCTACAACCTCATTCAACACCACAGAATTCACACTGGCGCAAGGCCTTACAAATGCAGTGAATGTGGAAAAGCCTTCAGCTTCAAATTCAGGCTTGTGCAGCACCTGCAGATTCACAACAGAGTGAGACCTTATGTGTGTGGCGAATGCGGGAAAGCCTTCAGCTACAGCTCTACCCTCATTAAACACCAGAGAGTTCACACGAGAGAAAAGCCTTACAAGTGTGGTGAGTGTGGGAATTCCTTCAGCCAAAGCTCCAACCTCATTCAACACCAGAAAATTCACAGTGGAGCAAGACCTTATAAATGCAATGAATGTGCAAAATCCTTCAGCTACAAATGCAAACTTGTTCAGCACCTGCGCATTCACACCGGAGAAAGGCCTTACGAGTGTGGTGAGTGTGGGAAATCCTTCAGCCACCGGTCCACTCTCAATCAACACCAGAGAATTCACACGGGAGCCAGACCTTATAAGTGCAATGAGTGTGAGAAATCCTTTAGCCAAAAGTCCAACCTCATTCAGCACCGGAGAGTCCACACAGGAGAAAAGCCTTACGAGTGTGGGGAATGTGGGAAATCCTTCAGCCAAAGCTCCCACATCATTCAACACCGAAAACTTCACACCAGATAACCTCAGGAGTGCAGCGACTGTGGGGAAATGGTTCATAAGCTACATATGTGTTACATATGTGCAACAGATGTCGGTGTAAGCCTTCACCTACAGGTCCGGCCTTGTTGGGCCCCAGAAGGTCCTGTCCGGAATGTGGTGTTTCCTAGAACTAGAGACTTTGTGAGGGAGCCACCTCTTGGAAATTGAACGTCCACACCGGGGAGATCTCCCAAAACCCCTAGGTTTGTGGGGAAGCTTCCAGGAGCCCAGCGTGTTCTTACTCTGTTCTGCCAGGTTCCTCATTCAGGGCAGATCGTCTCTCGACCATTGTGAGTGACGGGGGAGGGTAGCACAGCAAGTCCCTTCTTCCTCATTAGGGTTCTGACCCAGTTTTGACAGTGCCAAGGGGTTGAAATGAAAATACTGTTTACCTTCTAGACCTCCTTGCAGTGTACCACGAGGACACGGTATTTCTCTTCTGACCACTGTAGGGCTCCTGTGAGAGTGGTTCCTTTTTCCCAGGGTGTCACACGATGTCGAGCACTGTCATGGGGAAGCTGTTCCCGAGCGCTGCAAAGGAATCATGTGCCTTCATGTGTAAAGTTCACTTTCTGGTGTCATTGGTTGATTTTAAGACTACTATAGGGACCAGGTCGAAAACCCGTGATTGTACGGAAACAAAGACGACGGCAGGACTTAGGATATATAAACCTCTAACAAAACTTGCATCCACTGATGTTCCAGTTTATACACTCCACCCCAGTGTTCCTCCTATAGTTTTGGAAGTTGAGGCCGTTGTGTCAGTCTTAATTTCTAGTCCATCTCACAGATATTTGCTGCATAGGCAAGAAAATGGCAATAGGATAGAAAATCCCACTGTGGTTGAGACCTGTAGCTTTTCTGACCAGTTGCTGACCCAGATAGAAATGACCTTGAAACTCTTTGATGCAGGGCATCCCTTCCCCAGGCATGAGGAAGGATGGCAGACTCTTGTGCAAAAAAGTAGGGGACCCAGACCTCTATTTGATTTTTAAGGAAAGCTTTATTGAGGTATAATTAACATGCTGTAAAACTGCACATATTTAAATTGTATACAAAACCATGGGTGGTAATAAATCTATATAACTCCTTTAATTTTGTGTCCTTTTTAAACTTCTACCCTGCACAGTAAATTATTTTGTATTTTTTACATGATTAGACTCAGGTATTTTACTTTTTTAAATTTTGCTTTCCTTTATGCTGAATAATTTAGAGAGCGCACATTTTTTTTTATTGCTGAACGCTATTCTGTATGGATGTGCCATGATTTTGCTTACCCCACTTAGCTATCCGCTCGCTGATCACCACAAATAAAACTTCAAACGTACGGACTGCTGAACCTCTATGAACCTTCCCCCATTCATTGTTTATCGCCGTGGCTCCTACTGCATTACCCACCCTCCAGGCCATTGCCACCACAAAATCATTTCAAAGTCAGTGGAGACTTTATATAGCAAATGTTGCCACTAAAAATACCATAGACTTTAACAAATTACCCACAAAGCTACTACTGTCTTAGGTAAAAACTTGAAAATCTGTCTTAAAAAAATGTTTTTAATGTTTATATATATTTGAGAGAGAGCTTGAGCAGGAGAGGGACAGAGAGATGGAGACAGAGTCCAAAGTAGGCTCCAGGCTTCGAGCTGACAGCACAGAGCCCGAAACAGGGCTCAAACCCACAAGCAGTGAGATCATGACCTGAACCAGTCTGACATTTTACCAATTGAGCCACCGAAGTGCCCCCAAAAAATTGTCTTTCTTGTCCCCAAACCATGAAATAGAAGATTGGCAAGCATATTAAAGAAAAATGTTTAACACACACTGGGGAATTCTTGCAAGAAACACATAGCATTTCATTTCCCACTGGATTTGTATATATGATGGCCTTTCTAAAATTGTAAGAAAAATAACATTGCAGCAGACTGCCTGCCTCACTCTCCTTACTCCCTGGACTCAAACCAGGAAAATCACAGTCTTCAAAATGTGATTCACCAACTCACAGCAACAGTGTGGAGACGATCCCACAATTAGAACCTTCTAATCTGCTACTTGTTCCTAAATTCAGCCCCTTCAGAGCAGCAAGTTCTTTCCATTTGTCTTGCCTGGTTTGTTCACACAGCATGATTATTACCTTCAATTCGAATTCTGAGGCTGGTTTTGCTTAAGTTTCCAATAGTGGCAAGAACAACCAACAAGGCTTACTTACTTTCTTACAATCCTAAGACTTAGGTACAAAATATTTAATGCTTACTTTTTAAGTTACTACCCTTGTATAAAAGCTCTTGATAGCAGCCTTTCTGCCAGCAAACACTGACAACCCACAGACCCACAACCCCACTTCTGGTAGGCAGATACGTCCCTCCTCTCCCTGAAATTACCAGTGACCGGTGAATCCCACCAAACCCAAGACGGTCCTCAGAGCCCTGCCGGTATGTTGTGAGTCATACTGAGTCGTAAAAATCCAGTTCTACCGCCCCCACCCCCCAGAATGGCTTTTGGGTGACTGCATCACAAAATCATTAAGAACCACCAGGCCAGGTGTATCATAACTACTAATTAGTGTGTTAAGAATGGACTCACAGCCACCACCTTTAACAAATTCTGAGCAAAACTGAATATGCAAGTTCCAAGCATAACTTGGAACTTAAATGCCTCTCCACAAGATGACATCCACAAAAGTATGCATACGTGTCTTTTTGGAGTGAAAAAGGAGTTGGTCTTGGTCCTGAACGCCGAGTTAACATGGGTGGTTCACACCCAAGTATGTTACCCTTTCCCTGTATGCTTTTGAACAGGTCATTTTTATTCTTTTAAAAATTTGTTTTAAGAGACAAGAGCAGGGGAGGGGCAAAGAGAGGGAGAGAGAATGAATCCCAAGCAGGGCTCCTGAGCCAAAATCAGGAGATGGACACCCAACCAACTGAGCCACCCAGGCCCCTTCAACAGCTTTATTAAACCTGTCCCCAAGGGGACATCTGGATTAAGTAGGGATTGCCACATGTATTCATACAGAGATTGCCTACCTAACCCTAACCAATCTAGAATGACCTTTACTGCTCAACCTTCGTGGCTCCCATCCGACTTTATTCATTACACATGGGAAGGTCTTTATGCCAGGCAGCCACACAGACACAGAAAAAATGCAGGAACCAGAGTGGGCTCGGGTCTAGAGTTACCTGTTCTAAACTTAGTTTGTCAACGCCACCATCCCGTCCAGATTAGGTCAAATTTAAAGTACCGTAAGAAACCCTAGAGGCACAGGTAAATGAAACCCTGTTTCCTCCCCTTCTTCCTGCCCCCTCCCCCCCACTCCTCCTCTCTCGCGTTCTAACAGGGTCGCTCACCTGTTCATCTCGCGGCTCGGTGGGGGCCCGGCATGGCGCGCACTGGGCAGGCTTGGGGGGTAGGGGGTGAGGACCCACCTCAGCCAGCAGTCAGTGCCAGCCTTGCCTTCCAAGTGAGCCCCTGACTCGCTCACATTAACACGGCTTGCCCCAGATTCCAAGATGCACCCGGCGAGAGGTCACCCAGGGCCCCTGACCTGCACAAACTCTGCCTGGAAATCTCCTGGACCCAAACGCCCAGATCGCACGGGGGACCGTCCACCCCGCACCGATCGCTTTCTGCGCCCCTCAGGGAACAGCACGACAGCCCCTGGTTCAGCCACTACCAGGCAGGGTGCGCCCGGGCCACCCACCTGCTGGCATTCATGGCCACACCAGAGCCTGGGAAGGAAGGATGCGGCAGGCAGGCTATGCGATCTCCCGCTTCACTGTGAAGCGCATCACCTTCTCTCCAGACTCTTCCCGAGTGCTTTAACTTCCGCACCTCTTGTTTTTCACGATCAGCCTCTCATTGAGCCTCAGAGGGACCCTACCTGGTGCTCTGCACCCCAAGCTACCCGACACCGGTAAAGCCGCACTGGCCATGCCGGTACCGGTGGCCTAGGAGCCGGGCCTCCTGATCCCAAACTCACCGCGCCCCACCCAGGGGCAGGTTCCGACCTGGTTGCTCATCGTTAAATAGAGACATCGAACTTACTGCTTCAAATTCAACAGGTTACCACATCCCTTGGGAGGCCGGGCCACCGTGATCACTTGCTGGCAGTGCAAGGAGAGACACCGCAAGGAGCCAGAGGACACTCAGGCACCAGGCCACCGTCGACGTCCATCTTCACCCCCCACACCCTTAGAGCGGGAGAAAGGGACACACAGGCGGTCACGAGCCGGCCAGACAAGGGGTCCCTGCTGGGGAAAGAGAACGCCACCATATACGGCATGGAGCAGGACCGTGGCCTCCCGCCCATCCACCCCAACACGTTCGCCAGGTATCCCCACAGCCTGAGGACCTGGCCACACCGCGGGCTCAGGACGCACATACCCAGGCACAGGCCCACGCACAACTGGGCCACTGACACAGCTCTCCAGCAGAGGTCAGGGGCAGCACGATCCCCTCTCCTAGGGCACAGAGGGGCACACCCTAAGGCGACTGATCACCAGGGGTGCAGAGGGGCGTGGCGCTGGGTGATTGATCACCAGGCGCAGAGGGGCGCGGCGCTGGGCAGGAGTACTTCTAAGGGTCGACGGTCAACGTGTCCTGCAACCAGCTCCACCTACACTCGAGCCGGGTGACCACCCCTCAGCCACAGGAGTTTTCACTGGCAGCCCCCCCCCCCCCCCCGCCAGGCGGAAAGGTCTCCAGCCCATCCCCAGAGAGGGTCCTGCCAAGATCAGACCCTAGAGATCAGAAGGCTTGACAGGGAGCCTGAGCTCAGTTGCCCTCGCCCTCCCACAGAGTGTAGTGTCCGCGTGCTCAGTGGCAACACCGCCAACCTGGGTGACAGTCCGACAGAGGACAGGGCCTCCTGACTGTCCTCGGGCACTGCAACCTAAGGTGGACAGGAGACCCTTAAAAGGACCTTTAAGTCTCTGTGCCAGGCCGAGCTGACTGCACCCAGCTCACAACCGTGCCAGGCGAGCTTCTGGGGCCCGACCTGTGCCTCTCACCACGGAGGGAAAGGGCCTGGGTGGGAAACTAGACACAAGCTCAGGGCAACGGGTGGGGGGAAGAGCCAGGCTAGGAAGGCAGGGAGGGCCTTCGGGGTGAATCTGGGCACAGGGCCGAAGGCGTGGCCCCACGGGGCGAAGGGAGCCCCTGTGGAAGCCAAGGTGGGACCCGCAACACGCGTCATAGGAGGGGGACGCCACAGGCAGCAGGGACGCGGTGGCTGAGGGTGGGCACCACACGGTGACCTCGGGGTTGACCCAGCACTCGCTCGGAGCTGCCACTGCCACCTTCACCGGTGGCCCTGCAGGTTCACCTGGCAAACCTGCAGGTTCCTCTCCCAGCGCGGCTCTCGCCTCAATTCCAGCTGCACGGCCACGTACCCTCAAGACACACAGAGTCGGTTTACCCAGAAGCTGCCCCCGGCCTGCCCCTGCCACTGTGTCGTCAGGGGGTATAATGCGGTAGACCTAGCAGAAGTGCATCAGCATCTCAAACCGCTGACCTCAGAAAACGTCCTTGCACACACGTCCAAGAAGCCCACCTCCACTGGCAGAGGATGAGCCCCCCATCAACCTCTCCTGAGTCATGGCCTCAAGGTGAGAAAATGAACCACATGGGGATGCCTGGGGGCTCAGTCAGTTAAGCAATGACGGGATCATCACACTCAGGTCATGATCTTAGGGTTGGGAGTTCAAGTCCATGTTGGGTATGAACCTACTTAAATCAAGTACCGAAAATGACCCAAATAGAGCCATGATCCACAGCACATAAATACCCAGCTGCGGTATCCAGTTTCAAAGTTCAGGGCCAGCAAGGACGCTCAAGTGCTGGGGACAGCAGTGGCCACCGGGACAACTGACCACTGGCTCTGAGAGCCAGCTGATCCACAGTACCCGCTCCTGGAGCAGGGGTCACTGCTGCTGCTGGCAGCGGAGTTGCCCACCAGCGGGACCCACTGAAGACCTCGACTGGGCTCCTCCCAAGGTGAGGGCCCCAGGGAGCATCCTGTATTACTTCCTACCACGTAGAGTGGGTTTGGTCCGAGCCCAGGACCCTGGAGAGCATCCCGTATTACTTCCCGACATGTAGGATGGGCTTGTTCTAAGCCCAGGGCACGGGGAGCATCCTGTATTACTTTCCACCAAATAGAGTGGGCTCATTCCGAGCCCAGGGCACTGAGAGCATCCCATATTACTTGCTACCACGTAGAGTGGGCTTGTTCCGAGGCCCGAGCCCCAGGAGCATCTGTATCACTTCCCATGATGTACAGTGGCCTTGTTCTGAGCCCAGGGCACGGTGAGCATCCCTTATTACTTCCCACCACGTAGAATGGGCTCG